TATTCCCTATTCTAGAAATGTCTTTCATTTCCGCTTACTGAAATCTTAGTCTCCCTTTCAAGGAACTATTCACTTACTCCTTCCCCCCAAGAAACTTCTGCTAATCAACCCAAGCAGATATAAATGATTTCTTTCATTTGGAAGCCCCAATAGAATTTTTTAAAGAATCAACTTTTTTGATGTATAGTCTACATAGAATAAAATGCACCCATTTTATGTGTACTTCAGTGAGTTTTGACAAACTTATAATCACCACAATCAAGATTCGGAACATTTCTATCACCCCTAAAAGTTTTCCTGTGTCCCTTTCCAGTAAACCCCTCTTAACTGCTGGTCTCTGGCAACCACTCATGAGCTTTCTATCACTATAGATGAGACTTGTATTTTCCAGAGTTTCATATAAATGGAATCATATGGTATACATTCTTTTTTTTTTTTTTTTAAGTCTGGCTTCTCTCTTCAGTGTAATACTCATTAACAGGTAAGTGGATAAACACACTATATTATATGCATACAATGGATTACTATTCAGCATAAAGAAGGCATGAACTACTGAAACATGCTAAGCCAGCTGTGGGTGGGCTGTCCCAGATCATCTTCTATGGAGGGGCTCTAGGAAGTTAGCAAAGAGCTGAGAACTTCCAGTCCTGAGCGAAGTTCCACAGTTCTCTGGACTCAGTTATCCCTTCTTCATCAGCTCTCATCAATGGCCACCTTTCACATAGGGACCGAATACTTCCAAGTTCCACTAATTTCAAATAGCATTACAACTGAAAGGTGAAAAAAGTTAGCTTGTGCAAGAGTCTAGTTATTTAGGAAGCACATATTTAAGAAAGGGGTGGGGTATTGGGACTGTCACTCATTCACTAGGTTTAGGCAGATACTACTCTCATATCCTTTTTTAGAGAGTAGAAAAAAACTGCCTGAGAAACTGGAAATGTTAAAATTCTAAATGCAATTATCTTATTTTAAAATAAGGTTCTTAGGAACTTTTTATAGAGACAGAAAAATCATAATTGTATTGACAGAAATAATAAATATGCTACAGTTAGGACCATGTATCTTTGGAGACAAGTGGGTATATATCTTCTAAAGGCATTTTTGTATAAGACAAGGGACATATAATAAGTGTCCTTCAGTCACAAAAGTATATATTAGTCTTAATGTGCATTCATATCATTTTTCAAAGTAATTTGTTTTTAAACACAGATAACCTTAAATACTTGAATTTATGTAGTATTTTCCAATTTTTAAAACTAGTACTACCAAAGTTAAAAACTTTACCCTAAAAATGTTTTTAAAAAGCATAATTATCTCTGCTTTTCTGACTGAGGAACAGAGAGAAAACAATTTCAGAATCTTGACTGTAAATGATGATATCTCAGGAATGTGTGTATCACAATTCTTGACAGAGAATTTTTGCTTTGCTTTCCAAATCCAAAGTGAAATATCCTCTGCAAAAAAGCAATCGATAAGAAAATTCTCCAGTACTCACCAAAGCTACTTTAGTTGATATATTTATATTTTTCAGTTCATTTACTCTGTTCCTCCATTGATTTATTAACTGTTGGACTGAATTTAGCTGAAAAGAAGGAAAGATAATGACTCAATATTGTATGTTTCATTTCTTCAATAACAACTTCACCCATTTATTTGCCAAAATCACAAAGTTTGTATAACAGTTTTATGGCCCATAATTTTGCACTGACCTGCCTCTATTTGCCAAAGACATTCCATCTCTAGGCCCTTCTCCCTGTTCTTTAACTCCTTGTATCACCTGGTTAATAATCACAAGTACCTGGCAGCAGAGTTAGTTATATGTGGATGGAAGGTGAACATATGTACTAATTGAAATGCACGATCATGACTGTAAACAACAGAAAAATATAGAGTTTATGTAGTGTCCTTCAGGTATCCAACTTATTCTAGTCCAGATTTTTAATTTGTTTTGGTATTTGGTAGATGACAATGTTAATCTGTATAACAGACTGCATTCTACTTAACTTTTTATAAAGTTCATTCATCATGGCACCTTCACCTAACAGATACTCAATAAATGTCTGTCAAATGATGAAAGGGTTTGATTTCTGAGACAGATTGCTGGGTAATTTGTAATAAAAATAATGATAATCCTAATTCCTACAGTCAAAATATATTATCATCATTTTAGATAATCAACCAACTTCAAAGAAAGTAATTAGAAAATAGAAGTAGCCTTGTTCTGAAAAAAATTATAGACCTCATCAACTTTGCCAAAATACAAGCAAGCCACAACAAACAAAGAAAATAGTAATTAACAGCTAATCTGCTGAGGTAGATGAATAGGAAACAAACTTACATAACTCTGTAAGTTATTGCTGGTTAAGAAGTTATGGTATTCAAGCCTCAACTCCTCTGGTGAAATGTCTGTAAAACCTGAAGTGAGGAATCAATTGGAATCTTTAAAATAAATGCCAATAATTATGAAAGAAAAGTCAGAGGCACTAAACAAGAGAATATCTAATGTTTAGAAAATTTTCATAATTATAAGGAAAAAATTCAAACCCTACACTCTAATGCTTAATGAAGTATAAAATTAGAATAAAATATAGTTGGTTATTTGATCTTTGAATTGGGGAAGACTCTTCTAAAGATAACTGGTGTAGAAGGAATAACAAAGAAAAGAAAAAGATTTGACTACATTTACTGTCAAGCTTCTGTCTCAAAAAAATTCTGTCAAAAACTACAATAAACAGGCTGGGCGCGGTGGCTCACGCCTGTAATCCTAGCACTCTGGGAAGCCGAGGTGGGCGGGTTGTTTGAGCTCAGGAGTTCGAGACCAGCCTGAGCAAGAGCAAGACCCC